ATTCTCAGAAAACTCATAAATGTTCAAATAAATGTATGGTACACAGACCATGAAACAACCTCAATAAATGAAAAGAAACTGCCTGTTAGTGAAATAACAAAAACATCCACAAAAAATATACAAATTAACTAAAATTTAAAAGATTCAATCTTATGGGGCACCTGGGTGGCTTAGGTGCTTGAGTGGCTAACTCTTGGTTTCAGCTCAAGTTGTGATCTCGCAGTTTGTGAGTTTGAGTCCTGTGCTGGGCTCCACACTGACAGCACGGAGCCTGCTTAGGATTCTTTCTCTCTCCCTCTCTCTGCCCCTCTCCTGCTCATGCGCTCTCTCAAAATAAATAAACTTGTATTAATTAATTAATTAATTAAATAAAATAAACTATCTGAGCTTTGAACAGAGAAATGAAACTTCAACTGAAAAGCCAGAGTCTGGGACTCTGGTGTCAGAGTAGAGTTCTATTAGCTCCATCACATTACTAAATGTGGAACCTTAAGACAAATTCCTTCATCTCTTCAACTCTGTTTCCTCAATAAAACAAGGAGAGCTCGTACAAGGAATAAATAAAACAGTGTATGCAAGGCTCTGTTACAGTACCTGGTACACAGCTGGAATACATAACAGCATGCTTCTCCTTCTAATTTTCAAAAGGCCTAATTAGAGATGGATTCACAAACAAAGTGAGACTTAAAGAATAAGAAAAAAATTGTTAGCTGGACAGAAAGGAAGAGTATATTCTTCAGGTACTCCAGATTTACTTATAACTTTAAAAATAGGGATAAGTTTCTCAGATTACGAATGTGAAAAATGCATCACTGATCTTACAACACTTTTCTATATATATAAGATGCTCTTCTTCCTTATAATTTTGTAATTTTTCAAGGTTCTACATGTGTACATTTATTTTTCTGTCCTATTCCTAGAACCCTGACTCAGACCCTTCTTAACTTTGGTTTTGGATGACCTAACCCTTAGGCCAGAGAGGCATACCTTTGAGACCAGTAAGTATTCTGAAAGATTTCTGGGAGAAGGCCAGAACCCAGCATCCAAGAATTTAGAAAGAATCAGTATGGTATAATAAAAAGGACATAGGCTTTGGAAACAGGCAAAGGTTTAAAACAGATTTAAGTCCTACCTCTGCAACTTGCTAGATGTATAACCTTGGGCAAGGCACTTTACTTCTCAGAATCTCATTTCCTTATCTGTAAAATGGAGATAATGCCACCTATATCTCAATGTGCTATTGTCCAGATTAGAAAAATGACTATAATAGTGCCTGAGTGGCTCAGTCTGTTAAGTGATAGACTCTCGATTTCAGCTCAGGTCACGATCCCAGGGATCAAGCCTCATGTTGGGCTCTGCACTAAACACAGAGCCTGCTTAGGACTCTTCTTCTCTCTCTCCCTCTGTCCCTTTCCCCTGCTTGCGCTCTCTCTCTTTCTCTAAAATACAGAAACAAAGAAAAATGCCTCTAACAATTCCTGGAATATAAAGGTCAATTGATGGTAAACCATATTAGAATCATTCTGTCAACTATCTTAATGAACATTTTGCAAGGCTGTACTTTCCTAACTGGCAAAAAGAGTTATACTGTTCCCACAATTCCATGCCTACATCCAAAAGGTTCCATTTTAGTGATCTATAATTAACCAAATCAAGAGCTTAAAGAATTCAGGGCAAGAAAGAACTAACATGGCTCAACTCATTCTCTGCTGAGAACAACAAATCCAGTGCAAAGTGGACACGTTTGCCAAAAAGGGGGGGTGAGGAGGGGAGAAGACTGCTTGAACATGGTCATTACCAATACTGATGTAAGCACAAGCGAATAGCAGTTCTTAGGCCTGCAGCCTTACTGTCAGAAAGTTTTAACTTTCCTGAAATAAATCCTCTCCTGCTTTGTTTCCCCTGCTGTGGGAAATGTGCTGTGACATTCTTATTAACCCCATTTTCAAGAACACAGGGAAGAAACCCTCTCAACTATTACTACTGCGTTCACTTGAAATTTATCTTCCTGTTCCACAAATCACTTCTTACAGAGATTTTTGGTTTATTGGGTTCACTTGACGTGAACTTATGAAGAAAGACATTAATATAAATATATGATAGCCACAATAACAAGATCTGGTCCCCACAGCACCACAAGTTACACGATGAAGGTAGGAGCCAAAGGTACGATGTGACTACGTAACCTGCAAACCATATGCTCATTTCTTATTAACTACTGCACTTGGGAATTCTGGCTCTTACAAAAAGTTTATTTCCCTTGTGTGGCTGAGCAGAGTAACAGAACTAAGAAAACTGATGACAGATACATGAATAGAGTAAGGGAAACCATCAACAAAAATGTGACTTAAGAGAAATAAGCTTGTATGTGGCAGTAACAAAATAAAAGCTATAGTCTCACCAATTACATAGCCAAAAGCAGCTATTTCAAGCACCAGTACCCCAATCGCTCCCTACAATAAAAGCAGAAGGGGGTGAAGGTAAGAATGATTAAATAAACAATCTAAGAATCAAGAAAGATGCAACAAATCAAAATGTCACACTGCAGTCCCTTAATGAGGTGACTTTCAATTTGAGGGGAAAAAAGGCAGTCTCGTGCACTTAATTTAGCCAATTCAATGTGAAGAAAGTTAAAAATTCTGTCCCCAAAAAGGAGCTCAGCAATGCCTTTAGTTGTGTCATACAGCTGTATCCTTGCCCAGAGTTTCATCTGCTTAACTTCCAGCAAAAGTTGTTTTTTGGTTGCAATTAACATTGTAAGGCAAGTTCAGCCCTGTCTTCCATAGCCTTGAGGCTGCGGAGTAAATCTAGAATCAGGGAACCTACATTTTGATGCTAGAAAAAAACAGGAAGAAGGTGGTTCAACAACAAGGAAAATGGTCAAGAAGCACATCTAGATTTAAGAAAAACAGACCGGTATGCTGTCCTGTGGTTTTTTTAACTTCTTTATATAGAATCTATTGAACTAGATGTACCTTTCAGAGGAGGTCATGGTGGCATGCACTTAAGCCACAGCTGGAGGAGGAATAAAATCACCCTTAATAATAATAGTTATTATCTTTTTTTTTTTAATGTTTTATTTATTTCTAGGAGAGAGAGTGAGAGACAGCATGAGCAGGGGAGGGTCAGAGAGAGAGGGAGTCACAGACTGAAACAGGCTCCAGGCTCTGAGCTGGCAGTCAGCAGAGCCTGACACGGGTCCGAACCCACGAACCGCGAGATCATGTCCTAAGTGAAAGTCGTACGCTTAACCGACTAAGCCACCCAGGCGCCCCAATAGTTATTATCTCTTAAGCCCCGGGTATATGTGTCAAGCTCTATGCTAAAGCCCTTTACAAATATTTATAATCTTCAATCATATTAGTAGTTTCACTTGAAAACAGAGGGAACTAAGAGATTCAGAAAATTTAGAAATTACCCAAACGCTCGTTACTGAGGACACTAGTATTGAAACCCAGGTCTGCCTGTCTGTAAATCCCATGCCCTAAAAGTAATTTGTTAAACAATCATACAGTCAAGACATCTATTCAAATTATAGGATTTTACACAAAAAGATCCCTAATCACAGGAAAAAGATTTGGCCAAAGTTATAAAGCAACTCAACCAGTCAGAAATGTTTCCAATTTCCAGACTCATACTAGGTACTACCAGCCCGGAGACCTGTGCTGCCTCCTACAATTTCTCCCAGAAGAGTTTCACACTGTAAATGACATGCACACTGTCCTAAAGTATAATTAAACAAACTCCTTCAGTCTTGCATCTGACATCATCTATCACCTGTATCTAGGGAATTAGAATGAAAGGGTTATCTGCTTCATACCTTAATCATGAGATTATTACAACAAAAGTTATGCTGGGTCCAGGGTTCCAATTCAGCTGAGTTTTACACAGTAATACCAATGCAGACTTCACATCACTTTTACGGCTGTTCTGATAAAGCAACTAAAAATCATTCACAACCATTAAAAAAAAAAAAACATAAATCACTGTGTTCATATTATGCCTTGGAAATTAGACCATAAATTCCTTTTTATGTGATCCATACCTCTGTCTTTTCCAACACTTGCCCCTTTTTTGCTGTGCTGATTTAGCTTTATGAGAGGAAAGACAGGCCATGGATAGCCATGGTAAGGGTAATACTGGAGTATCACACATCTAGGCTCACTTAGTGTTCTGAGATGACTGGCTCTTCAAAACTATGTCTGAAAGAAGCTGACATCAGAGACAGACAGTCTCACCATGATCGCCTTTCCCCAAAGTAGAAGCGTTTCTTCCTAACACTTCCAGATCGTAAGGAACCAATAAAACGGTCATTCTCTTCATACACAGTTTAATAATCCTGGTGGCCAACTACTAAGCAGAGGGGAGGGCTCTCCGAAGAGAAAAGAGTGAAAAGCCTCTCTCCATTACCCTTTCACATTCAGAGAAGATGCAAGGATACTGCAGTATCTGGAATGAAGGGCACAGCATCGGTGCTGCTCTAAAGAAGCGGTTGGCCACAGAAAGGCAGAAAGTAATCCTCTGTGCGGAAACCACACAACTGAGGATTTCAATGCAGGTTAACTACTGCTTACTCGTTCTCCAAATAGAAAAGATGTTTCCACCCGTACTGCTGGGTGAACTCTCACAAGCGGGAAGATGTTTCTGTACCATTGGGGTCTTTTCCCTGAATGGTCTGGAAAATAACACATGGGAGTATGCTGGGTGCTCGGGCGAGGGACAGTATTAGGTGCCTCTCCTCCCTGCCTGTTCGAAGTAGTAGCGGAGAGCGCTACCTCCATGTTATTCACAGCGAAGTACCGCCGTGCCACCTGGACTCTCCGCTCCCCATACCTGGGGGCAGGTGGGGGCATCTCTCAGAGAGTAGGGTTCAGGAGGAAAGGACTCTCCCGGCTTGTGTGATCGGAAGAGAGGGCGTGGACGGTGGTGCTGCCATGCCGAGACCATCTGCGGCTCCCCCTCCCTCCCTCTCTCCGCGAGAGGCAGCCCGGCCCCAGTACCTTCTTGACTGTGCGCGGCGCCTCGGTGACGGTGCCGTCGGGGCTGACCAGGGCCTCGCCGCCGTCGCGGTGCCGCTGGTGCTGGTGATGAGGGTCGCTCCGCTTCATGGCCGACGCCTGGGGCACTTTCCCGGCGGCCGGGCTGAGGGCGGCGGCGGGCCCCGAGCCCGGGCCAGGGGCCGGGGGGCGCTCCGCGGCGGGGGCTGGAGCCTCGGGGTCCCCGCCGCCTGCCGGGGGGGCCATGGCGCTCACAGCCGACGTGCTCAGTCCCAGTTGCGGCTCCTCCTCGGAGGGGCTCAGGTCTTTCAGCTCCACCTCAGGCACCTTCGCGGCAGCCGCTGCTGACACGACCTGCACCGACATCACCGCCTCCACTGCAACCGCCGGCTCAGACTCCAGCTCTGGCTCCAGCTCGGCCCCGCCTCCCGCCTCCCTTCCCCTTCCCTCCCCCATTCCCCCACTCCTCCCCTCCATCGCCTCCGCTCCCACCCCCTTCCTCCGCCCGTCCGCCCGCCAGCCAGCCCCGGCCTGTCCCGCCCCACCCCGCCCGGCCCCGCCCCGCCCAGGCCCTGCACCGCTCGCGCGCGAGGCGCCACGGAACCTGTAGTGCGCTTGCTCCAGGCAGCACGCGGCAAGAAGACCTTGGGACCTCAGCCCCCAACCTACACTGCGCGCCGCCAGGGGCGGGGCCCGCAATGCCTCCAGGGAGTCGTAGTCCCAGTCGCCCTGCCTCGGGCTAGTGGGATTCTGTGAAAAAGAGCTCTAGCGCCGAGGACTAAAGGGAAGGATAGGACGGAGAGTAGGTGACACGACGAAGGGGATGAGAAAGAAAGTCTCCTGAGGAGTTGCGGCTTCCAGGAAGGGAAAGCCAGGAGCCCTAGGGTTGGGAAGGTGGGGGAGGAACGACTCCCTACCCTGACAGCGTAAATTTCCTCCGTCTGTGCACGTCTGCGATCACGTGACCAGGCATTTAAAGGAAAAGCGGCGGCGTCACGTGAAGATAGCGCTGGCCTCCAGCTTAGAGTGGCTTGGTTTTTCTGTTTCTCTGAAATCTGGACGCTGAAACCTTTCTGAACTTTAATAGGAATGTTTGTGGAAGTAATAAAAATAGGACCTTACCTGCTGTGGCAATTTCTGATACATTTTGAGTTTGGAAGTTTAAAGTTAGTCTAAAGAAGTTGGGTATCACTAGGCCGAAATTTAAAAACTGAGAAAAGAAAAAAAAAAAAGAAATTTCCAAACTAAGGAATAAAATGTAGCCTTAAGCGAGGCCAAATCTTCTGACCTACTGGTTCTACTAGAGATAATATGAAATTCGAATAAATGCATGAGAAGAGAGGAATATTAACTAAAATGTCAGCAGTGATTTCCTTAAGTGGCGGGATTTGAGATGATTTTTTAAACTTTCTTTGTACTTTCGTGGGTTTTTTCCCCGAGGTTTTAGACTGTTTATTGATGCCAAAGTACGTTTGCCAGATAAAACTATTATGTATTATCTTAAAGGGTGTAAGTACAAAGACATATACTGGTTTCATTTTTAGTAACAAAAAGGTACTGAAACTATAATATCCAGTGATAGGGGAATGGTTACAGCCTTTAAAGTTTTTCGAAGAAGTTTTTTTTTAATGATGAAGTGAAATAAATGCTTATGATAAAATAATATGCTAAAATACTGTGCAGGAGACAGAATTCCACATTCCATAAGATTTTATTATGTAAATAATATTAGAAAAAATACATTAAAATACAATTAAGTGACAGATTATGGGCTAGGTTATTTCTTCCCTATTCTCAGAGAAACTGAGGCAAAGGGGATCTTATAGTTTTGGGCTTTCTTAAATATTTATTTATTTTTGAGAGACAGAGAATGAGCAGGGGAGGGCAGAAGGAGAGGGAGACACAGAATCCGAAGCAGGCTCCAGGCTCTGAGCTGTCAGCACAGAGCCCCAGACAGGGCTCGAACTCACAAACCTGAAGATCATGACCTGAGCCAAAGGTGGCTGCTTAACGGACTGAGCCACCCGGTCGCCTCATGGGATCTCTTAGTTTTATGGTTGTTCAGAGAGCAAGCAATCCCAGAAGACCTCTGGACATTTATGGAGTAACTACATTTTCCCTGGCAAGGAGGGTGAGAAATCATCAGCCTTGACCCCCTACTTCCCTGTGCTACTACTCTCTTGGGAAATCTGTTCATTTGTGGAGTTCTTCTACCCCGAATGGAGTCTTTTGTATCCTGGTCTTCAAATTTATGCCTAACACTGCACGGAAGGCAGCTGAGGACTGCCATTTCCACAAAAGCCCGTAAGTCCACCAGACCCAAGGGCTTCTTAAGGTTTCTCTTCACACTGTGGCTTTCAGAATTTCCTTCCTGTTATAAAGAACCAGCCTAGAGCTTCATCCTCCAGCTGTCGGAGCAGAGATTAGCAGCTCTATAACTGATTTCATTCTTCCCCCTAATACACAAGGGACCTGTGGTACAGCCACCTGGCATGTGTCAGAGCTCATAGACAGCAGCTGCCTACCTGGACTGCCACTAGAATTGATTACTGAAGGGAGGAATTAATTCTTCAGTGGGATGTGGTTACAGAATGTAAGGAGTTGGAGCACTGGAAAGAAACTGATATTCATCCTTTATTTATCCAGGCACCGTCCACCGGTTAGAGCCAAACACCAGGGCACGCTCCTCAACCATTCTCAACTACGGTCTCCACACTCGCTGCTTCTGCCATCTTTGTTACTAAGGGACACCGAGCACACTTGAGAATGGAAATTCCATCCTGGAGACAGGATGATTAAGCACAAGTTTATGAAATAATTTTTATTCAAAGTTCAAAAGATACAAGAGTATTTACTGAAAAGTAAGTCATCCTCAGCTCCTCTCTCTGGATGTGACCACTTAAGTTTCATCTGCATCCTTCTGGAAATATTCTATGTATTCATGTATATATTCTCCTTCTTACAAATAGTAGCTGCGAGTCTTGCTTCTTTCACTCAATAATGGAGATAGCAAACCCAGAGAATTACATACAATGGAAGGGGTCTTCTAATCCTTACATTGTAAAAATAATGAGATTAACAGTTGAAGTTAAAATGCTTTACTCAGAGGGGCGCCTGGGTGGCTCAGTTAATTGAGCATCCAACTTTGGCTCGGGTCATGATCTCCAGGTTCGTGAGTTCAAGCCCTGTGTCCAGCTCTGCACTAACATTGCAGAGCCTGCTTGAGATTCTCTCTCTCTCTCTCTCTCTCTCTCTCTCTCTCCCCCCTACTGCCCCTTCCCCTGCTCGCCCACTCTTTCTCTCTCTCTGAAAATAAATAAACTTAAAAAAAAAAAAAAGATTAACTCAGAGTTGCTTCAGATTTAGCAGCAGATTCAGGACCAGAAATCAAAGTTTTTTATATTGCAAGATTATCTGTCCAGTAAGAAGTATGGGATTGGGCAGTCACTGAGTACCTGTGGTCCATGACTTCTCTCACTGGGTATGGGGGCCTTGGGTTTCTATATGCCAATCTCCTTCCTCTGGGCTTGGGTCTTATTAAGACTTCACCCAGGGGCACATGGATGGCTCAGTCAGTTAAACATCCGACTTTTGATTTCTGCTCAGGTCATGATCTCACAGTTCTTGGGCTTGAGTCCTACACTGGGCTCTGTGCTAATGGAGCAGAGGCTGCTTAGGATTCTCCCTCTTCCTCTCTCTCTCTGCCCCTCCTCTGCTCTCTGTCTCTCTGTCTCTCTTTCTCTCTGAATAAATAAATGCACATTTAAAAAAAAAAAAAACTTCACCCAAATGTCCATATAATGTTCCATCTATGTATTCTTCTGTCCGCAAGCTGCATGCCCTTTACAGAGAGCAGGTGGCCTTTGAACTCCATTCCCCATTTAAGTTTCACCGTTACTGGCTTTCATGTTAATCCATTCAGGAAAGGTTTAGGATTGAGGGGCAAACTCATCACAACTACAAGCAAGTACTGCAGACCCTTAACCGCCAACCAAGCTGCTGTCTCTCCCTTATGACTGGAGCAGCTACGGCCAGCAGTTTATGAAATATTTAGATTTCAATTCTTCCCTCCTTGGCTCATTTGGCTGACAGACCTTGGCAAGCAAGAATGTATGTTCCATGGGGGAAATTGGAAGAACTTCTGAGGTATCTGACAAACCCAAGAGAGAAAACTGGAAGATATTAAATTGGAGAGTTCACCCAAGGAAGTAGACCCGCCAGATCACCCTTGGTGAAGACCATACCCGTGTTCACAGAGTTTCCAGAAAACCCTTGATATGAAGACAGAGACCAACACAAGCAAGGAGAAAAAATAAATAACAAAGAGGAAACAGAAGCAATGCATCAAGAAGAAATCAAGACCAAAAAAAAAAAAAAATCGTTAATATCCTCAGAGACTTAAGATATTGTATTTGTGAAAGAACAGGCTATTTTAAGAAGTGAACATTCAGGAAACAAACATAAGACTTTTAAAATGAAAGCACGTAGCAGAAATTTTTACAAATTCAATCAATAAAAAGAGAGAAATTAAAACTAGGAAAGATGCATTTTCTCTCTGCTCAGATTGTTGAAGAATGGTGTTGTGTCACAGATTTTAAAAACAAATTTTTTATGTATTTTATTTTATTATTTTTTTTTAATATTTTCATTTTATTTCTAGGATAGAGAGAGACAGCTTGATCAGGTGAGGGTCAGAGAGAGAGGGAGACACAGACTCTGAAACAGGCTCCAGGCTCTGAGCTGGCAGTCAGCACAGAGCCCTACGCGGGGCTCGAACCCACGAACCGCGAGATCATGACCTAAGCGAAAGTCGGACGCTTAACCGACTAAGCCACCCAGGCGCCCCTTATGTATTTTATTTTGAGAGACAGATACAGAGAGTGAGCGGGTGAGGGGCAGAGAGAGAGGGAGACACAGGATCTGAAGCAGGTTCCAGGCTCTGAGCTGTCAGCACAGAGCCCGATGCAGGGCTTGAACCCACGGACTGTGATATCATGACCTGAGCCGAAGTTGGACGCTTAAACCAACTGAGCCACCCAGGCGCCCCGTGTCATGGTTTTTAAATCTGTGTCTGTCTAATGCACGTTTTTAACATGATAGATGGAATCGTTGTGTAACTACAATTTTCTGGAAAAGTTGGTCTTTGAGGAATTGTTTTTCCCATCTTCAATACAATTTTTCTTTAAATTAAAAAAAGAAGAAGAAGAAGAAAGGGCACCTGGCTGGCTCAGTCTGAAAAGCATATGATTCTTGATCTCTGGGTCATGAGTTCGATCCCCACTTGAGTGCAGAGATTACTCAGAAACAAACAAACAAGCAAAATCAATTAGAGGGCCAGTTTGAGAAGTCCAACATCTGAATAACAGGAGTGCCAACAAAAAGTAACAAAGAAAATGGGGTGTTTGGAGGTTGGGGGAAGGGGGTGGGGAATGTGAACCAATGAAATATTTTTTTAAATTTCCCAAAACTGAAACATAAGAATTTCCACAATGAAATGGGTCATTAGGTGCCCAGCTCAATAGATGAAGATAGACTTACATTAATATACATCACCGTAAAATTTCAAAATTCTGGGGATAGAGAGACAACCCTTTAAATGTCTATCATGGATCAAAGAATAAAATTTTTACAAAAGCTCAAGAGACAGAAAGATATTGAACTTCTTAAAATTAGTTTGAGAAGCTAGAAGATAGTTCCTTCAAATACCACAGACCCTGTTTGCCTTCCCCAGAGAACGAACTTAACAGTCAGTCAGGTGTGAGAAAGGCAGTCATCTGACTATTCAGAGTTAGGTAGGGGATCAGGGACCCCTCCTCCCGCTTTCATTTCGACCTTCTGAAGTACCTACTGCCTCTAGTTCAGAGCCTGCTGCAGGTGCTGCAATATAAGTCTTCCCTACTGCTGCCAAAATCTTTGCTTTTTCAAATCCGCTAAGTTACCCCTCATCCTTTGCTTTCCAGCTTTCAAAACTGTTACTATTGGCTCCTCCCCCTCTACCTCTTTTGTTCCTGACCATAGGCAAAGATTGAAAAACAGCTAAATCCTGATCCTCAATGTTGAAAAGTCAAATGGTAATACCTCAAATGAACATGCAAGAGATGGTATTATTAAGGCACCTGGGTGGCTCAGTCAGTTAAGCGTTCAGCTTCAGCTCAGGTCATGACCTCACGAGGTTTGTGAGCTCAAGCCCCATATGGGGTCTTTGTTGTCAGCAAGGAGCCCTGTTCGATCCCCTCTCTCCCTCTCTCTGTGCCCCTCCCCTGTGCATGCTTTCTCTCTCTTTAAACATTAAAAAAAAAAAAAAAAGATAGTATTATCATGTTGTTCAGACATATGGAAATAACATAAGAAGCATCTAAAATAAATTGGTTGGGGAGTGCCTGAGCGGTTCAGTCAGTTAAGCGTCCAACTCTTGATTTCAGCTCAGGTCATGATCTCACAGGTTGTGAGATCAAGCCCCTCATGGGGCTCTGCGCTGACAGGGAAGAGCCTGCTTGGGCTTCTCTCTCTCTCCTCTCTCTCTCTGCCCCTCCCCCCGTCAAAATAAATAAATAAATAAACATTTTAATAAATAAAATAAAATAGGACTGCTGCCAAGAACAGGAAGTGATGGGGTATCTGGTAGGGGTCAGGTACCAAGGCAGCTGTTTTAATCAATAGGACCCATAGAACTTTTTGAGTTTTCAAACAAATTATGTGTAACTTAGATGGAAATAAAAACTTTAATGTTTATTTATTTTTGAGAGAGAGGGTGTACACACAAGTGGGGAAGAGGCAGAGAGAGAGGAAGACACAGAATCTGAAGCAGGCTTCAGGATCTGAGCTGTCAACACAGAGCCTGATGCGGGACTCGAACTCACAAACTGTGAGATCATGACCTAAGCAGAAGTCAATCAACCAACTGAGCCACCCAGGCGCCCCTGAAATAAAAGTGTAAAAGCAGACAAAAGCAATACATAAGCATTTTATGGATACATACCTGCATATGCACATACGAAAGCATAGTAATGGGCTGGAAGGAAACCTACTAAACTCAAACAGTTGTTTTCCTGTCCAAAAAAAAAGGAGGAAATTGGGAGGAAAAATAGGCCAGGAATGGTAGTCAAAGGTAACTTTAGCTAAATCTTTTACTCTTTATTTCTTTTTAAAAAATTAGCTGGAAGCTAAATATGGTAAAATGATAAAAAAGAGTTAATTCTGAGTAGTGGGAATATGGGTGTTTATTAGGTTCTGTGTGCTTTTCTATATCTTTTCAATTTCATAGGTTAAAAAAAAACAAAAACGAAATTCCAGCAGGCCAAGGAAGGGCTGGGGCAGTGGCCAGACTGCTTAAAAGAAGCTGGGACCAACACAGGCAGGCCTCTCAACCTAGGAAGACTGAGCTGAGCTAGTAGGTAAGGGACCCAATGGAACGGATGAGGGAGGAATCTGCTACAGCCCTGAATGCCCAGAGACCCAGGGGGTCCCCCAAACCAGGCTCCTTTTGGAAACCCTGAGGTGTTTCTTCCAGGGATCTAGATCAGGGGGTTTGGTAGAAAAGCGACCACCATGACTCAGTCATGAGAGCTGGTGCTCCCGTAAAAATGCTGCAAGATTTCTTGGTTGTGGGAGTGTCCTGGTCCTGGACCTCTAACTGCCACTAATGGAAACGGTCACAAAAAGTGGGCTCACAGTGCCCTCTCGTGGTTACAGAGTCTCTGTCAGCCTCCATGGCCAGGGGTAGAATGATCATGTTTCTGAGCTTTTAAAGCCCACAGTCAACTCCCCCTACATCCCATTCCTCATCCTTTTGTAAGTATTCCCACTGAAGAAGGAATGGAAGGAACATCCATGGAGATGAAAAGAAATAAAGTTGTCAATATTTTCCTTTATTTCAGAAAAGATCCTTAGACAACACCGATACATTTAACTCTTGAATTCTCTTGTTGATAAAGGTTAAAAAAATAGGTAGATGTAGATCTCGGCTGAGAAAAGCAGTAATGTCAAGAATAAGTGAGGTGGGCAACCGTAAGGGAGTGCAGAGGGAACACAGCACGGGAAACCTGGATAGGAGGGAAAATCCCAAGTCAGAGCTGAGACTGGAGAGTCAGGACTTCATAAATCAGGAAGACCCTGGGCCCGGGGTCTGTTGCTTGCAACCTAGGAGGCTGTGGGCAAGTCATTTTTCTTCGCTGAGCTTATTTCTTCAAAAAACTAGCTCCTCTGATCCTTCTAAATTAAACAAGAGACAGTCACACGTGGTGCCCAGGAGCCCACTCTGCAGCCAGATGCCCTGACAGTATCCCAGCATTACCACTTACTGTGTGGTCTTTGGTGAACTATCAAACCTTTCTGTGCCTCACAGATCTGTTGTGAGACTCAATGAATGAATGCAAGTCAAGTGCTTGGAAAAGAGCCCAGCAAGCCTTCAATAAGCGTTAACTGTTATTATAATCATTCACATGTAAGGTACCTGGAATAAGATCAGGTTAGTCTATTAGTTCCCTTCCACTTCCCCTGGAATCTGGCTCTGGGCAAAATGCTTGTGTCCCCATCACGTGAACAAGTCTGGTTGGTATCCCAGAGTCACTCCGAGTCTGTGAGTATCACCCCTGTTCCTCCACAGAGTCTTTCCGCGTGATCCTGAGTCCTTGCAACCTACTTCACAGTCTTCTATGGACATCTTTTTGGAGGAAGTGGGGCTAACATGAGGAAGTATGAATTCCTTTGACTGCCCATAAGAGGAAACTGGCCCTACTGACGTCCCTTTTAGAAGACACCCCCAGGGGCACCTGGGTGGCTCAGTTGGCTAGCCGTCCAATTCTGGATTTCCACTCAGGTCAGGATCTCATGGTTCGTGAGATCGAGTCCAACGTTGGGCTCCAGGCCAACAGCACAGAGCCTGCTTGGGATTCTCTCTCCCTCTCTCTCTGCCCCTCCCCCTTCTCAAAATAAATAAACATTTTAAAAAATGAGGAAGGAAGAGGCCTCCAGAGGTGGAGCCCTGGATTGCCACAAGGGTCCTGCTCACCTACACTAGAAGGGGGCTACTTGCTCCCAGTCCTCACTCCAGGGGCAGCCACACGTTCTCGCTCAACCATCTTATGGTCAGTGCACAGTGAGGCAGCCATGGCCACAGAAGAGTTTTTGTACATATGGAGCTGACTGGCTGGGAAGGACAGCCAGCACATTAGGCTGGTATCAGCCTGACATCTGTCAGTCATGACCTCAACAGCGCCAAGCTGTTGGCCTTTCAGAATAGCCTGAGGAGGAAGTGGAAAACAAATGTGGTCAAGACCAGGTAAACAGGTCAAGACCAGGGCCTATGGATTTTATTTTACTTTACCTTATTTTGATTAAGTAATCCCTGTGCCCAATGTGGGGCTCAAACTCACGACCCTGAGATCAAGAGTCGCATGCTCTACTGACTGAGCCAGCCAGGTGTCTCCCCCCCAACCCCCACCAAGACCAGGGCCTATGGAAAAGAAGCACACCAAGAGTTTATACAAAAACCTTTTATTTACTGTTTGTATTTCTTCTCCCCATCCCTACCCCCGATCTGGAACCCAGCCAGCTCCTAAGGCTTCCTACTGTCTGGTTCTTGAAACTGGGGCCTTGGGGACAGAGTGAGGGGTTATGAGAGGTGGGAATCTCCTCACCGCCCAGTTGTGGAAGTTGAAGGAAGCTTTCCTGCCTGGCTGAAGTTCCAGCAGCCTCCCAGTGTAGCCCCTTAAGTCAGAGGACCCATCCCCCACTGGATGGATGGGAGGAAGAGATCACATGTGTCTCTCAGAGGCCCAGAAGCTCCCTGTCACTCACTGCTTCTACACCACGCCAGGCTCTGTAGCTAAACCAGTCTCTCACCTGGAGATGGGGGGTGGGGTGGGGGGCGGGATGGAGCATGCAGCAGTTCTGGGTCCTAATCAACAAACAGGAAACGGGAAGAGGTTGGGCTGGTTGAACTGAAATGGGAAAGGGGAGCAAGGGTACGGGAGCACACGGGACGGGTTACTGGCCTGGGGTCGGGCCAACTGGGCACCTGTGAAGAGAGGTTATAGCCCCTACAAGAATAGGCACTTCCAGCTCCACAACCACCTAGAAGAGGGAGAAGGGAGCCCTGTCCCCACTTAGACAAAGGATTAAGGACACAATAAACACATTTGGTCTGAGAGTGCCAGAAAGGATGTCCACTGGCACAGAAAAGGGCAGCCAGCCCTCATTCGCCAGGTACGGGCTTGGCTGCCTCATTGGCTACCACAGGCCATCCTGGGTACGTCACCCCTGCCTCCACTGTTACTGGCCCCCCGCCCCGCCCCCAAGCTCTGCATATCTCCTGGTCCCGCTGCACGTGGATACTGTCAGCCAGACTCCAGCTGGTGGGGCAGAACCAAGGACCCTGAGCTCCAGGGTCGTTCCCTGGACGAGGCCTGCTGGTGGAGATGTCAGGGCCCTTTCCCACAGTCCTGATGCCATGAGCCACACTTAGAGAGCCCTCCTGGGAGGGCATGGCACCCTCGGGTCCTCCGGAAGACAAGATCCTGGGGAAGCACTCTCAGGGAGGATGAAGAACCTCAGGATGGTATCTGCTGCTCTTTCCTATCCCAGGTCCTGCTCTCCAGGCTCAGAAGTCTGAATCTGCATCCATGAGCTCTGCCTCCATCAGGTTGGTGCGGGAGTGAATGGGCCCCAGCCCCTGCCGGCAGCCCTGGGCCCAGGCCGCCGTGGGAACTGGGGCACTGGGCAGAAATGGGTCCTGCAGGGGACTGGGCTCTGGGCAGAAAGGGTTGGAGACCAGGGTCCAGGCTCTCTGTCGGCAGGATTCCCCAGCTCCCCAGGCACCTGCGGCCACCAGGCACTTCTGCCGGGGTAGCTGAGGCAGTCGAGGCACGGCACTGGCCACAGGGGCAGGGGCAGGGTGGTGAAGCTCAGGAGGCGGCACCAGTGGGCACACCTCCTTCTTCCTCTTCCTCCGCTTCTTCTTCCGGCCCAGGCGCTTCTCTAGCTCTGGGGAGATCTCTGCCTCAACCAGCCACAGGTTGGCTTTTTCCTCTGGCGGCACTGAAGGCAGGAGAGAGAACGTGAGCCTGGGACACTGGCTCTGTCCACATCACCTGTTCTCTCCTTGGACCCCTACTTTTGGGGTCTTGGACCCACACCTCTAAATCTCTAGTGCCTCAGCCCCACACTTTACATCTTCCAGGGCCTCTCCCTTCCTCCTCCCTCTGGCAGCTGCTGGTGCTCTGGTCCCAAGAATCCCCAGACTCCACGTCCCCCACCTTCCTACAGAAGGCTGACTCCTCGTACCTGGAGTTGCCACAGGGGTGACAGACACATCCTGGGGCAGTATGGCTCCTCTCCGAGCCACCATCTTGGTGACATGCTGGGCCCAGGCAGAGGACACGTCGGCAGAGGGCTCATTGAGGTCAAAGGCCAAACCCGCTGTGGGGATAGAAGGAAAGGCTAAGGAATCATGAGCCCAGTCCTTGGGTGACTGGGGCTCCCTCCCGTCCCCCAAGCCCAAAAAGCCCACCCAGGAGATCACAGTGATCTACCCAGTCGCAGTGATCTACCCTCCCTAGAGGCCAAAAATCCAGTTCCTGGAACCGTAACTTACTCTAGCCCAGGGAGAACAACTGGAGAAGGGAGACGGACATGGCTCCTTTTGAAACCAGAGTACCAGCAAGCCGACCCAGGGGCAGAAACAGAGGGCAGAGAAGCCGGGGATGGAAGGGGGACTAGAGAGGGTTGAATGTACGAGGAGAGGAGGGGGTGCTTTATCCCTCCCCGCCTTCCAGACAGTCCACGTGTCCACACCAGCTTAGGGCAGGGCAGGGCCCCGGTATTGTGGGGATGGAGTGGCTCCAGCGGAGGAAAGGGGCCGAGGCTCACCCACAGGCCCGTCGTGGGAGACGGTGTGCATGCTGAAGGAGAGCTCCTGGCCCGGGTTCTGCAGCAGCTCGCGCCGCTTGGAGAAGGCCTTGGCAATCATCTTGCTCTTCTTGATGCGTTTGGGCTCATCATCACTCTGCCCGGTCAACCTGCGGGCACAAGAGATGGGGGAGGGGAAGTGGAGGACAGCCACCTCCCATCAAATCCTGTGAAAGACCAGAGAAGCCTTTCCCTCCAGGGAAGGAGCCTCCAGAGGGCCCCCAAGTCCCTCAAGGACTCTGAGGAGTAGAGACCTCTGCAAAGCATTGGGCCTAGAATGCAGGGCTCCTGTATGTCCAGTACTCAAATCACTCAAATCATTCCACTCCTAGAAGAAAGATGCTGGCAGCAGGCTCAGCATTCAAGGGCCCTCCTGAGGACAGGAGGTGTCACCAGGGGGCAGTGGTGAGCCACACAGAAGGCAGCTTTCAGCAGCTCAATGCAGACCCTTTGAAAACTGGTCTGCCCTGGACTGCTCAGAGATGGTGGAGCGGGCAACCCTTATGGGTGGGGACACCAAGCGTCAGAGAGTAAGGCATCGAGGTCAGAACCGGCTGGCTGCTAACCCCACCTGCACCAGGTGCGCCTCCAGATGAGCAGCGTGGCCTTGGTCCAGACCCAGGTGCTCATGGCAATGCCGGTTCCAAACATGGCAAACAAGTTGATCTTCTCCACCAGGAGGCTGGGGCGATTCTTGATTTCACAGTCGGGGATGGGCTTCTTGGTGGGCAGCCCAATGGTCACATTGGCCTGGCACCTATGGTGGGGGGTTAGTAGAGAGGTGAGGCTTTGTGGGTACCCTGACAATCAATTCGAAGACTTTAGCAAGAGCTAAGCCCCACGGCAATGATTCACAACCCTGGGTGCTCATTAGATTCACTCAGGACATTAGATTCACATTTTATAACTACTAATGACTGGGTCACACCCCAGACAAATCAAATCTCTGGGGGAGCACCAGGTATTCATGTGGTTTAAAGCTTGCTTCCCAGACTGGAAGCTGGAGCCTTTAAGGAAGAGCTTGAGGCAGTCGGGACGTGGACTGGTGTCCATTTTAATGAGCATTGTAACTGCTATGCCTGATATCAGCGAGCGCAGCTCTTCTACCAGTGGATGAGACCCGCTTTAATCTCAGATCCATCCTTCATGGTGACACAATAAAGCACAGACAACACTAGCAAGTATTAACGGGTTGTTAAACCCATCATGGAGAGGTAACTACTCTGTGCAGGGCTCTATAATAAGCTCTATAAAAGAGTGCGTGAGAATTAGAGTGACTTCTGTGGCCAACACAGAGTCGTTGGAAAGCCCAAACATGAGAGGGCTGGACAGTTAAACACACCAGCCAGACAGTGGCTCGGGCGGAGAGGAGGGCAGAGTTGAGCCAGGACAGGAGAGGCGTTTTGCCATGTTTGTAAATTACAGAGCAATTGACATCTTGGGCACCCAGAGCAAGATGGACAGTTGCATCCGCCGTCGGAGACAGGTGCCTAGCAGACCCGTGCTGGACGGCAGGGAGGGCTAGGGCTGTCTCTGAAGTCCTGTGGCTGCCGTCCCCCAGCCCCCAGCCCCCAGCCCTGCACTCACAACACATAGTCCCGGAAGCTGCGCTCCCACTCGGCCTGATTGAAGAAGTCGTAGAAGTGGCAGCTGAAGGTGATGAGCACAAAGCCAAAGGCCAGGAAGCCGAAAATGCCTGTGGAGGGCCAGGGTGGGACAGAGCATTACCAATCCCAGGTTGGGAGCAGCAGTGGAGACAAGGCATCTGCCCCATTCAGGCCTCAAAGATATCTGAGTCTGGGGTGAATTCGTGCTGGGCTCAGTTTGCTGTATTCTCCAAAACAAGGCTCGAAGTGCACTTGAGCCAACTATGGGAGGGCCCCAGTGGGATGAAGAAGCAGTCTTGGCATGAACTTGAATTCTTCCATCCAAGAAGGGCCCCTTCTTCTGAGTTGCTACCACCATGACCCTCATCCGACCCCACCCCCCATACACACACATGCCCCACAGCCTTGTGTTGTTCCCAGTGGCTGCTAACTTGTACCACTCACACTGCATCCTCCAAGATCCTATCCTGCAGGTCCCACAGCCACAGAAGTGTGCAGTGTTGGACCGGCCAGAACCCCGGGGGCCCACTCACCCAGCCGCAGCATGGTCTCGTTGATCTTGCTGGCAGCCTTCTCGCTCAGCAACCCGGGATGGTTGCTCTTGATGGAGAACAGAGTCATGACTCCTGAACGGAAGAGAGACCTCAGACATTAGTGGGGTGAGGCCACTCTCCTGGGAGGGATGGCTGTGGCAGGCGGTCCCCGGGCTGATTACTCCTCTGCCGATTTAAAGCTTGGGGAACTGGAGACACTGGAGAAATGGGGCACAGCTGGTGGCAGATGTGCTCTGTACTGGAAAAACTGGGGCAGGGCCCAGACAGACAGTTGAGAAGAGAGAAAACGGTCCTGGCCCCGGCTCCCCCTAAGTAAGGCAGCCAGGTCAAAGCTGTGCTGATGGAAAAGGCAAAAGAGAGAGAGAGAGAGAGAGAGATGCAGGAACAGTGCTATCTGATAGAAACATAATGTCGGCCATATACAGAAGCTCAAATTTTCTAGCAGCCACGTTAAAAAAGATGCAAAAAAAAGATCCATACCTTTCATAAACAATACATCATTGTGTTTCATTATCATCTCAATATGTAATGCACATAAACTATTAATGAGATAAGTTACCTTTTTGTGTGTGCAGTCTTTGCAATGCAGCATGGATTTCGTACTTACGATACATCTCAATCTGGACTAGTTTCAACACGTGTGGCCGGTGGCTACCGTACAGGACAGCACGGGCACAAAACGTAAACCGAAGGCCCAGACACCAGCAGAAAGAGGTGGGCTGAACAGAAGGCTGACAGCTCAGCGGGAGGAAACTGAAGTTTACAAAGAAAATGCAACGAGAATGAGCTAAGAAGATACGGAGGCTGCCTGTGGAGGTGGCAGATCCAGACGGGGAAATTAGGGAACAGAGAATCTGTGCGTGTTGTGAAAACTGTGTGTGAGTATGTTCTGGAGGTAGGCGGCGGATGAGGAGCCAAGCTCCAAAAGATAGAGAGTGTACACAAATTCAGGGTGCACACACACGGCGAAAGGCCCTGAGTTGGTCCACATGGACAGGGCGGGTTATTCACCATCCAAGTGCACCCAGCCAAGGGCTGAGCAGGGGCTAGAACCCAGCTCGGGCTCTACTCGACAAGCTGTGAGCCGTGGCTCAAGGCCCTGGAGAAAGGGGCTGCATTGCTCTGGCCACAATACTGCATCGGCCCGAAGGTGGCACCTTCTACTCAGCACCCAGGCCCCGTGTGAGCTGAGGTCCCACGGCAGAGGCAGCAGAGGCGGCAGCTCCTAGCTTCTGCTCAACACAGCAGGTGTTCAGCTCATTTTGTTACCCGACTGGTGCTCGCCAGGTGCTTGCTCACCTCGGATGAGGAAGTAGCCTCCCACAATGAGCACCAGCCCAATGGGGGCCAGCACGAAGCCTGCACGGTATCGGTAGTTCTTGTAGCCCACAAAACAGATGCCGCTCACGGAGTCCCCATCCACCTGCAGCACAAAGGGGTGGATGGGAGGGACAGAGTCGGTCGCGGGCCGCCTTACCCAAGCCCACCCCACTCAGGCCCCTAGCCCCCTACCGGTCACCACACCTGGGCCACAGCAAGGATCGCCACAGTGAGGACAAAGGGGAGTGACCACGTGAGCAGGTGGAAGTAGGAGGTCTTGCCGGAGAGAGGCTGGTAGGTGGTGCCCAGGGCTTTGAAGGAGGTGTGCCAGGCATAGGTCAGGACCACAAACCAGACAACGCCAGCCATCAGGGCGTAGTACACGATGACAAAGATGATGACGCAGGACAGGGTCTCGTTGGAGCTGTGCAGACATGTGGAGGGTCACTTGGGGAGGTCATTCATACTCCCTTTATCAGCTCTCTCCACTCTGTCCCCAGAGCCTTGTTTTCTAAGGTCTGGAGGTTCCCTAGGAGTCAGAGCTTGGAGATGGGACTCAGGTCAGATTTGGAGAGGTTATGGAAGGTGCCCCCTTGAGCAGATGCAAACAATCACATCCCCAACGCTGGAAATTTGGGGCACAACAAGGCAGAGCTGAATCCTACACTGAAATCTTCAGTTTCAAGACCACCCTGTACATTTTGTGGGAAACACACATTTCAGACTTCTACCCGTCGCCCTGACTCCTGGGTCCTCAAAACACCTACGTGGGCTCCCCAAGCCTCATGGTTCCATCCGCCCGGCAGACGATCTCCCGGCGGGCACCGTCCATGAACTGGGCCAGCCAGCCGATGCTCCCCACAAAGAAACATGCGTTGACGTAGAAGAGAATAACGGCAGGATAGCGATTCGAATTCCTCCAGTCAGCCACAAATGTGGCCTAGAAGAGAGAAGTGGAGTCCGTTCTATGAGGCTGGCGTGATTCTGCTGCCACAGACGCTCCTGTCTGAACCCAGGACCCCTCTCACCTCCCCAAGGGCCCCACCAAGTCATCCTCTCCCCACTTCCCGCTGCCCCCACAACCCAGACAACTGACGACCCACTTCCTTCCCACTTTATAGGCTGTGTGCTCTGGACACCCTCTCCCCTAACCCCTCCACCAGCAGGCCGGCCCTCAGCTGACCAGGGTGAAGAGCGTGCAGAGGCCTGTGACTGCCCCGAAGGCTGCGATGTAGCTGTGCATGTCCTGGTGCTCGGCCTCAGTGAACAGCGGGTTCTGGCACTGGATCCCACACCCCTCCACGTCCTCATACCAGCTCTTGGGGTTGTCGGTCCGAACCAAGGGAGCCTCGCACTGGCCCGAACTGTTGAACTTGATGTTCTGCACCTCATTCTGGCATGAGGGAAGGGGAGAAGGCAGTGCAAAAGGGAACAGGAGGCCCGGGGTGCCCTCTAGTTTAATATGAGGCAGAGGGGCAGCACGACGGAGTGCGTACGAACACAGGCTGGGGACGGCCTTCCAGCTTTTGAATCGCAGCCCTGCCAATCACTCAATGACAAATCATATTGATAGGCTGGGACAAATTATCTGACCCCTCAGTTTCCCCATGTATAAGATAGCAGTAACTACTTCATGGTGTGCTTTAAGGGTTAAATAAATAAATGGCTGTAAAATGCTCATATAGTATTTGGCAGATAGTAAATAAGAATAATTAGTTTTATTACCAACATTATTGCCGTTGGTATTATTATGACTTATGAGCCCTCCTTTACCACCAGAACGAGATCACTTCCCTGTCTTGGGGTCTACGGCTGTTTTACATGTGCGTGCTTTGACTCCCCAAATACACAATAAACTTCTTGGAGAATGAGTGCCTGTTGACCCCTGGAACTCCCCAACACCTAGCGGAGTAGGTGCTCAAAAAATATTTGTTGAACACAAGTTATCTTTTACAAAGAAACAGATCATCCCTGATAGACTGGCCTAGCCAGGGAGCTTCAGTTTGGGTTTGTGGCTGCAGATTTGGGGTCTTCCAGGAGAGAAGGCTGGAGGGCTCCCCTGTCCCTGATTCCTGTTGGGCCCTGCCCTATGTTCGGGGCTTGCACTCACCGGGCAGCCCTCGGGGAAGTGGTCATGGGTACAGCGCAGGAAGTCAGGCCAGCCACGCTCCCTCTCCACAATGGCACAGGGGCCTCGGGTGGCCTGGCAGAGGGTGCGGCTGGGCAGCTCCACCCGGTCGTTCTCGCATTTGGGCATGTACACAGCACACAGCAGGGGCTGGATCACTGCCCAGCAGCGGGGTGCGTTCCGGAGGCCTGGGGAGAGGCAACAGTGTGGACACGTTGTGGTGAAGCCCCTCCCCACTCTGGCCCACAGCTGTTCCCCAGGCCTAAGGCAGGTCTCTCTGACATAATGCTAGAGCTGTCGGGGACCGTGTTTCTCAACAGGGCATTTGGGCAGGATGATCCTTTGTGCTGCAGGGCTGTCCGATGTATTGCAGGACATTTAGCATCCCTAGACTCTGCCCATTAAATCCCAGAGCACCTAAGTCATCATGACCATCAAAAAATACTCCCCTTGTCCCTACTCCAGGGTTGGTGACTGGAAGAAGGCCTGACGGGGAGTTTCTGGGATGCTGGTCATGTTCTATTTCTTGACCTGGTAAGTGGCTCAATGTGTGGATTCACCTTGTGAAAACCGAGCTTATGATCCATGCACTGATCTGTGTGTCTATTATAATTCAATTCAAGTTAAAAAAAAAAAAAAAAACAGCCCCCATTTCCAAAAGCCCCGCTAGGGAGTGGTAGTGCCTCTGGCTGAGGACTCCAGCCACACCTGCCTTTTGCCTTTTCAGGGACATCCTTAAAACCTTCTTCGGGCCTCTTCCAGGGGAAAGGGAGGTTGTGGGACCCACCCCTCCCAGGGCCCATGCACAGATGTTGCCCTCTGCCCAGACCCCAGGATCCCTGCTCCTCTTACCAAGCTGAGGTGAAATAGAGAACAGGTAGGAGCTTAAGAGGTAGTCAGGGGAGCCCAGGTACTCCAAAGCCAGAGGAGGAAACAGGAAATCAGATGGAGAGAAACAGAGGAGGCTCTGTCCAGTGCAGAGGGAGGAAACGTGTTATCAGCAAGGCAGAAACAGGTGGACATCTCCCAGCACCAACCCATGCGTCTACACTGCTATCCCAGTGGCTGGGCTCACTCACCATTCTGCCCCCGATGCCCTTCCTGAATCATCCCTGCCTCAGGAATACCTGTTTCCCACACAAGAAATTGTGTTAGGAGAAGCTGCTAAGGATGTGAGAGACAAACTGGTGACTGCCACACTGCCAGGCTGGGGGTGGTTGGGGCAGATAACCCCTCTTTTTAGGAGGGAGGAGATACAGGAGAGGGATGAGGGGCATGGACACTGCAATTAGCCCGCCTCGGTCTGAGCCTTGGCTCTGCCATTTCCTGGCTGTGTGATCTCAGGCAAATTATCTCTAGCCTCAGTTTCCTCATCTGTGAAATGGGAACTGACCTCCCGGAAATGTTAAAGAGTTAGATAATGCGCTGAATGTGTTTAGCATGGGACCCGTCAGATAGTAAGCACTCAGGAAGTAGTAGCTGTCGTTACTTATCCGAGACCTCTGACCGCTCACAGCTCTCACTACCACAAAGCCCTATTCCAGGGGCACGGAGCAAGTTCTTGTCGAGAAGCAATGTCCTCAGGCAACTGTTCCGAGCTCTACTCAAACCAGAATCACCTGGGGAGCCTTTACCTTTCTAGATGGGGAAAGCCACTCTCAGAGTGGAGAATGCCCCAGTGATTGCCAAGGGCTGGGCAGGAGAAGAACTTGACTACAAATGTTAAGAGGGAATATTTGGGTCTGATGGGCTTTTCACTACCCTGAATGTAGTGGCTGCTTACATAACTCTATACATTTGTCTACATTCATAGCACCATACAACAAAGAAAAAGTGAATTTTACTGGGTGTTTGTTGAACAAATACTTAAAATGGGGGGAGCTCACTACAGTAAGATGTATTCTAGAGGAGCAGTGAGCAGTTGATTAACAGATACATTGTGTTATTTTTCTGGGTTTTGTGATAATTGCAGCGATCAGCTTTTTAAAGTGTGGAATTTCAATGTTTTTCTTTTTTCTCATTTTAAGTAGTATTTTGTACCTTAAAAATAAGGAAAAGAAAGATTATTAAATAAATCTTAAAAGACAATTGATGAACCATCTAGGGAAAAAATTAATTTGTATCCTTACCCCATTTCTTACAGAAAAATAAATTCCAGATGAATTCAAACGACTACATGAGTTTTAAAAATTAAAGTACCAGAAGAAAAAGATGGGACATGGTTTTTAAATATTGAAGTAGAGATGGCGTTTTGAAGTATGACACAAAACTCAGACGCTATGAAATAAAAGATTTTAAAAGACTTCAGAAAAAATAGAGTAAAAACAAAAATCATAAGAAAAGCAATACACTGAGAAAATATATTTCCAATACATATCATAGGTAAAGAGCTAATCTCTTTATATTGAAAAAAAATTTTTTATAGATGGGGTGCCTGGGTGGCTTAGTCAGTTAGGCTTTGGCTCAGGTCATGATCTTGTGGTCAGTGAGTTCAAGCCCCTTGTCAGGCTTTGTGCCAACAGCTCAGAGCCTGGAGCCTGCTTCGGATTCTATGTCTCCCTCTCTCTGTCTCTCCCCTGCTCACGCTCTGTCTCTCTCTCTCCCAAATATAAATAAACATTTTTTAAAAATAGAAAAAAAGAGCTAATCTCCTTATATATGCCTAAAGCTCCTCCACATAGGTAAGAAATTCATAATCCTACAGAAAAGTGGGCAGAAGACAGACCAACTCCAAATGGCCTTTAAACACATTAAGAGACATTCAATCTCACTGTTAATAAACTGAACATGAAATAAAACTACAATGAGACATAATTTTTTAACTTTTAGATGGACACAGATCAACGCATTTGAAATGGTCCACTGAAAGAATGTGGTGAAACTGGCACTTTTTGTATATTTTTAGTAAAACAAATTAGTAAACACTTGTGGAGTCTATTTGGCCTTATCTACCAACATTTTACACTCGTGATCCCACTTTGCATGTTTACAAAGCTAACACAGAAGACGGTTCCTCGCAGCAAAAGAGTAGAAACTGCATGAATGCGTAACCATCGGTAGGAGACGGGCTACATAAAATATCATATATCAATATAATAGGACACTACTCCAGGTTGAGCTATTTGCACTGAAATGGAACTATCTCGAACACATCTTGTGAAATGGATTCAGTTGAGTGGGAACAGCCTGAAGAGTAGGTCACTACTGGTTGTAGGAGGAAAAAGACTAAGGGCACCTCTACATTTGTACCCATGTTGGATCATCTCTGAAAGGACACACGAGAACCGGTGCCGGTGGTTACCTCTAGGCAGGGGAAATGGGGAGCTGGAAGCAGAAGTGAAATGATTTAACTTTTGTTACCTTTGAATTTTGTACTATGTGAACATACTATCTATTTTTTAGGAGTAACTAAGCTTAGAAAATTAAATATGCAAATTATTGAGATGGGTGAAGCTCCCTAGAGAAGAGAAAGGAACAAAATTGTAGACCAGAAGAAATGGGACATCAACTTAATCTGTATTATTTTATTCCCTTCATTTTATTAAAATATGAAACAGAGAAAAAGACACACGTGTTATGTTAGTCTTTGTATTTTTCTATATCCATAAATTTCTTAAATATTTGCCACAATTTAAGCTCCAAAAATGACTTTTTAATTTTTAAATGTTTATTTATTCTTGAAAGAGAGAGAGAGGGAGAGAGAAGCAGAGCATGAGCAGGAGATGTAGAGAGAGAGGGAGACACAGAATCCAAAGCAGGCTCCAGGCTCTGAGCTGTCAGCACAGAGCCTAACATGGGGCTCAAACCCACGAACCTGTGAAATCATGACCTGAGCTGAAGTTGGATGTTTACCCAACTGAGCCACTAAAGTGACTCTTTATGTGCTCCTGATTAGTCAAGTTGAAAACCATTGTTCTGAGATTGGTTTAACATTAGGAAATTCAATCAATGCAATTTACTCCATTAACAGATTAAAAAAGAATAAAATCATATGATCATATCAGTAGATGTAGAAGTAGTTGATAGAACCCAACATGTAACCATGATAAAAAGAATAATAGGCAAATTAAGAATAAAAGAACACTTTCTTAATCTGATAAAATGTAACTACAAGAAACATGTAATGGTGAAGGGTTGAAAAACTTTAGAATGCAGAAAAAGTCAAAGATAAGGGACTGCCACTATTATCACTTCTATTTAACAATGTACTGGATTTCTTAAGTAGTGCATTATGGCAATAAAGATTAAAAGATACATGGCCTCAGGGCCCCTGGGTGGCTCAGCCGGTTAATCAGCTCAGGCCATGATCTCCTGGTTCATGAGTTCTAGCTCCATGTCCGGCTCTGTGCTGACAGCTCAGAGCCTGGAGCCTGCTTTGGATTCTGTGTCTCCTTCCCCCTCTGCCCCTCCCTCACTCATGTTCTGTCTCTGTCTCTCAAAAATAAATAAAAACATTTTTTAAAAAGACACATGGCTTGAAAAGGGAGACACAAAACTTATTATTCACAAATGAGATGACTATGTGTGTGGAATAAATTTACCCAGTTTACTGGATTCAAAATCAATTGTATTTCTAAACGCCAGCAACAAACAGAAAATGAAATGTTAAAGGGACTATTTATAATAGTATTTTAAAAATCAAGTACCTAGGACTAAATCTAACAGATGACATTTAAACTCTGCACAAAACTGTAAAAAAAATTGAGAAAATGAAAGAGTATCTAAATAGATGGAAATATATAATGAAATGATAGGAAGACTCAATACTGTAAAGATGTCTTTTTTTTTTTTTCAAATTAGTCTGTATCCTCAGTGGAATCTCAATCAAAACCACCAACAACTATTTTTATATTAAAACACAAAGGGTCAAGGATAGTCCAGACTCTATTATATGCTGCTGTACTATAAATACTCTACTACACTGTAAGTATTAATAAGAACAGGGGAGGTTCTTGGCTTGGAATTCACAAATGACTTTTTTTTAAGTTTATTTATTTATTTTGAGAGAGACAGAGACAGTGCAAGTTCGGGACGGGCAGAGAGAGAGAGGAAGAGAGAGAATCCCACGCACCCTCCACATCCAAGCAGCCTCCACACCCCCAGCGCAGAGCCCAATGCAGGCCTCGAACCCACAAAGCCGTGAGATCATGACCTGAGCCGACAAGAGTCAGACGCTTAACTGACTGAG